CAACTTAGTGCCGTGGATCGCCGGCACATTTTATGGAGGACTGTTTACGGATCCTGGGAGCGCAACGTTAGACTAAAATGCCGGCAGTTCTGACTCACATAAGTACGTTTTCATTTAAAGGATTTGCCAATGATGATTCAAACGCGAGTTTTGGGCAGTAGAGTTGCACTTGTTTGTCATTTCTCTGATCACAAATGCAGACAGAGTTTTATGTTTACGCGATGCAATGCAACGCAATGCGTAAAAAGACAATATAAGTCATTATAATCAGTAGTTATGTCCCCACTGGATGCAACAAATGCCTCGTTTATAATGGGTTTTAATGTTTTTGTCTCGTCGCTCCAGTTGGACACGGCATCAACAGTATGTGAGGGGCGTAACATTTCCGTCACATGCTTGAGGTATTCGGCCAATCACAACGAACTGGATAGCTGGCCAATCACAGCACACCTCGCTTTTCAGACCGATGAGCTTTGTAAAAATCGAAAAGGCGGGGCATAGAGAAGAAACAATAATGTACAGTATGTGGAAAATAATGTGTTTTTTTCCCTTTAAACCGCATAAAAACATTTCATTACACCAAATACACAAAATAATGTTATTTTTAGCAACATCATATGACCCCTTTAAAAGCAGTTTTGACCCAAACAGTTCAGCGTAGGACCGGTTCACACTGAATTCGTTTTTCTCAATTCGACTCATGGCAAAATTAATTAAAAATGTAAGGCGTTGAGACACGTTTTTAAAAGTTGGACTTATTGTATTGAGCGCTGCATTTTTAGAACGCTATGTTGCGCGAGAGGCTGCAAAAAGTTGAGATATATGGAACAAAACAGTTCAAGGGGTCGTTCACACAGAACACGTTTGTACATTCCACTGTACTACTTTTCTATGTGATAGTTTATAAACGTTCTATGTAAACGTACGTGTGTGACCATTGCATCCTGGTCTTTTTTTCAGCATCTTGCAGTGCAAAACATGATGCTCAAGTTAAAAAGTTGAACTTAAAAAGGTTTGTACCTTGCTTTTTTTCTCCATTCCATTTTCTTGCGTCTCACGTTTTTAAACGCAAAAACACGTTTAGTGTGAAAAGCCTCTAATGGGCCAATCACATGAAACATGTGTTTGCATTGTAAATCTTATGTTAAAACTTATTTTATCCTGATCGGAGCATTTTTAGAAGGTTGTCATGCGCAAAATACTGCAAAAGACCCGAGTGCAATGGTCAAACATTAGAATACAAAAATGTGTTCTGTCCATCTACTGCGTGTACCATCTACTGGAATGCAAAAATGCTTTCTTTGTGAATGTTCCCTTATCCTTTAAAGGGCACCTATTATGCCTCTTTTTACAAAATGTAATATAGTGTATGTCTCAGGTGTCCCCAGAATGTATCTGAAGGTTCAGCTCAAAATACCCCACAGATAATTTATTGTATAATTTTGAAAATGCCTATTTTGAGTGGAAGCAGAAACACGCTGTTGTCTTCTTGTCTGTATTTTTAAATGCAAATGAGCTTCTGCTCCCTGCCCCCCTTTTCCAGAATAGTACTGTGCATTTACAGCTCGTACCTCAAATACTCTGCCAAAAACATCTGTTTGGTTTTGATGATCATGTATCATGCATGTATCATCTGAAATCATGCGTTTTAAAACCATATCAGTTTGAACTTCTGATATATGGTTTTCTGAGTGCACGCACACAGAAAGCGGCTGTCACACAGCATGTGAGTATTAAACTAAGTTCTCTTTCATGTCTTATTGTGCTTAAACTTTCAAATACACACAGGTTTATGTTAAAAACACACACAAGTTACAAAAACACAGTCAGTTATGTCTGTGAAGGTAAACAGCGGGGAAAGAAATCGCATGTTTATATTAGATCTGTATATTAAGTAACAGCAGCGCCATGGGTGGGAAACGTGCAGAATAAGGGGCAGTGATATTATAATGTGATCCCCTTCCTACGTCACTAGGGGAGCGAAATCTGAGCAGCTCGTTTTTTTCACATGCTTGCAGAGAAAGGCTTACCAAAACAAAGTTACTGGGTTGGTAGATGTACCGGGGACCTGATTATAGCACTTGAACACAGAAAAATTCAGATTTTCATGATATGTCGCCTTTAATAAAATTTGCATGCTACAAATCAATCTATTAGAGCCTCCAGAAAGGCAGAGATCTACCTTTTGTTCAGTAGCTCCATTCTTTCACAATAGAGTCTGGAACACTCCTCCCTGTAAAAACAACAAGCTTTAGCACCATGGCAAGTGTTTTGTTCTTTAACACACAGATGTAAGCCAGATAATTTTTTACATGTCATTACAGCGATTTATAAAACAGTCTCTCTTTTTCTCAGAGATCCCGTCATTCCCATCCTTTGACAAAATGGCAAGTGTGTTTGCCTACGAGAGCTCTGAAGTGGACTGGTGTGAGGACAACTTTAAACATTCAGAGAATGTTGTGGAATATTTCAACACGGTATGAACATAACAGATGAGCCGCAAATCCCTTTCACACTCTAGTCACTGTGAATCATTCTCAATCCAACCCTTAACTCTAAAGGAGTCCTATACAGGACATTGTTAAATGTTAACTATGCTAGGCTAATTGTTGCAGTCTCCATACGATAATGCTCAAAGTGCCATGGTTTCATCCAGAAACTACACCCACACTAATGGCACATCTACAGTGACTCAGGCACAATGTTACACCTATCCATGTGCTCAACATAGATTTAATACAGCACAGCCCATTCAGTTTTTATTTATGGTCCTACCCTAGTAACAAATTAATTATGTCAATGTGACTGCTACAAAACCCATGTTTAGAGGCATCATGGGATATTATTTGAGTTTGAGTGTGTCTGATTCACTAACATGCATTTTTCCCCATTTCAGATGAGCAGTTTCATATTCTTTTTGATCTCACCCATAATGCTTTACCTGCTGCACCCATATGCCAAAGAAAGAAACCTGACTGTGCACCTGGTCTGGATCATGATGGTCTTTGTAGGTAAGTGTAACAGCTCAATCTATAAGGGGTTGTGGCATTAACAATCCAGCAGAGGACAGCACTGTACAATAGCCAAGTCAAATGTATAGCCAGCAAATTGAAATCCACTGATTCATTATATTTAATTCAAATAAATTCATTAAAGAAATGTCAGCTTGAGTTTTTGTATGTTAGTGGGGAAAATGAGCGAAGTGTTTATAAAAGCTACAAAAGGCTTTCTACCGTTCACAAAATGGGTTTACTTGCAAATCAGTAGACTAACAAAAAAAATTATAATTGCATTTTTAATAATAATAAAAATAATAATAAAAAAAATCTGTATTTGTCAAAACTGCTATGCAGTCAGTCATGCACACACTGAATAAGCTGACAATGTTAATAAATGTTTGAAAGCAAAGCAAAATTCGGAAAACATGCAAAAATCATGTTTTGCTTAAAGCACTTATGCTGTTGCTTCAATAAATCAGCTTTTATGGTATTTACATGACCTTATACTTATAACCAACTTATTAAAGTCAACTTTAATTGTATTCACATCCCATTTGACTTCAATTATGTGACACATGCTCGAGAGAAACGGGACATTTAAACAGAAAAATGTAGTGATTCCAGAATAAAGCCAGACAAAATGAGTCTTTCTCACTCCATGGTCTGTTTCTCTCTCTTTAGGTCTCTTCTCCATGTATTTTCACATGACTCTGAGTTTTATGGGCCAGATGCTGGATGAGCTGTCAATCCTGTGGGTTTTGGCTACTGGCTACTCCCTGTGGTTCCCACGCAGACACTTCCCCTCTTTTATTAAGGACAGGTAACAAATTCATATTTTTCAGACCATGTATATGGTCTGTTTCTATGTAATGGCATGAACTTGTCTTCCTCCTCTAAAACACTGTGTCTTCAGTTCTAAAAATAGGAGCAAATAAAGGATCCATTTACAGTCTTTAGTTTAACAGCAGCACTAACTTGCAGCATGATATTCTGATCTCACTGTGGGAGAGATGATTTCCACTGCTTTCTCAGTGGGGTCCAACCAGCCTTATGTTAATATTTAAAATGATTGAAATCTATATGAAACAAAGTTTTAGACTTACAAACATGTTTATGTCTACTGTCTTGTGGCTTAAAATGTTGGGGGTCAGTATTATTTTAATAACAATTAATAGTTCATTATATTTAGAGACGTTTATAATATCATTAAAATATATTTTAAATAAATGTGGTTCTTTTGAAAGTTCTCATCATTAAACAATCTTGACTAAATTAATTACTGTGTCCACTATAATATTAAGCAGCAACTGTTGATAATAATAAGAAATGTTTCTTGAGCAGCAAATCAGCATTTGCTGACACTGAAGACTGGAGTAATGGCTGCAGAAAATTCAGCTTTGCCATCACAGGAATAAATTACATTTCAATATAGATTCAAATTCAAAAAGTTATTTTAAATTGTAATAATATTTCACAGTAATACTGTTTACTTCTTTTTGATGAAATAAATGCAGCCTTGGTGAGCATTTAAATGGCTGTCAATGAAGAAGGATCCTTTTCTAGACTGTCCCCAGTCTAAAGTTTGGTCTCTCTTCCTCTGTTTTGTTCTTTTTCAGGAGATCGTTCTCTCATATGGTCCTGATCATCACTGTTATAAGCACTCTGTCCTCTTTTGTCAAACCTACAGCTAATGCCTATGCTCTCAACTGCTTCGCCATCCATATCCTCTACTCTCTGTTTGTGGAATTAAGGAGGTAAAGGATGTACATTCATCGCTTCAGGCTTTTTCAGATGTTGTTTTAGTCACTATTTACCCACGTTTAAACTATAAATACTATACAAGATCTGTTTTTATTTCTTGTTTTGGTTGTTTTCACTCTCATTCAACACTGAACTGTTTCTCAACAGTTGCACAGATGAGCGAGTGCTGCGTCTGGCCTGGGCGTCCATTGGCCTGTGGGTTCTGGCTATCTCCTGCTGGATTAGCGATCGCTTTGGTTGCAGCTTCTGGCAGAAACTGGACTTCTGTTATCTGCACGGTATCTGGTGAGTGAGTCATGATATCCCGCTGTATGCTGAGCACATTTGAACCCTGAAGCCTACAAAACAATTTTTGATAAGCAAAATTCTTAGACCTCTAAATTATCAGCATGATCATTACTTTGCTGAAAATCGATAGTTTATACTTTTTTAGCAATTAAAGGCCTTTTAGTATAATTATATCTATCTATCTACTGTTTCTATATATACATACATACATACATATATATACATACATACATACATACATACAGTTTATAAAATCATCAAATATTATCCCACAGGCCTATAAGGAATGTTTGTGTGCATCTCTCAGTCATCATTGTATTGCATTGCTTTATGTTTTGCCCCTACAATAAAAACTACAGAGCTTATCATATAACTAAGAATTTAAATATCTTACTAAGACATATTATTGGGAGATTTAGAGTGACAACTGATATTTAAATGCATTTAAGTAGGCCTAGCCTGCTATACATTTATAAAGATGTAATCATACTTTTTGGCCATGTAAATCTTAGCAATTGCGCCAAATTGCATATTTTTGGACCTGAGAATAAAACTGAAGTGTTTTTTTTCCTTCTCTAGTGTGAGGTGTATATTCTCTATATTATACTAAATGAGTCATAAAAAACACATATGCAAATATGTTTAGGTTTGTGTGTGTGTGTGTGTTTCATTTAAAGGTTCAATAAACGGTTAAATTGAAAAATGTTAAATATATATTATTTTATATGGATTTTTATTATTGTATCTGATTTTACAGGGTTAAACCACATTATTCAGAGTTTTGGACTGTCATGCTTATCCAGATACTGTTTTTCCTCTACCCCTCCATTCAGGCACATTCTGATTGTGGTGGCCACTGCTTATGGTAGCACTTTGATCGCTTACCTGGACGCTAGTCTGGAAATCCCTTATTCCCTACCCGACCTGCAATACTGGCCACGGAATAAATGGTCCATTGGGTTTCCTTACATAGTCCTCAAAGGCACTACAAAGACACGGAAGAGATGCTAGCAGGCACGACAAGATGAACAGACACAAGATGAACAAACCTCATATTTAAAGTTTGATTTAACGCTGATTTAGGACCAGCCTTTACATTTCCAAAATGCTGATCCTAGATCATTACCCTGAGCCACTGTACGTTATGTGAACACTGAAGAGAAATTTGTTATATGAAACAAATGTTGTGCTGAAATTGTTGCAGTTTCTGGAACTTTCTCCACATTTCTCACAGAACCTGAAACTGACGTGTGAGTGTGTGTGTGAGAGAATGTTTCTATGCAAGTGACTTCATATTCTCATCTTTACAAACAACATGCTGTTATGTGAAAATTAATATTTGCTCTGTTGTGACGATTGAATGTATGTACAAAACATTCTCCATTTTACTTGATTTACTTAATACGAATCAGAGGCTTTTTATGACAATTGACTGAGAAAATTGTCATAAGCAACTACTCGATTCATGGGCGAAACTTGAATACTAATTGTAATAGAAAATGTAAAAATGTTAGATTAATAGTCTGTTCAGAGGAAGAAAATCATGCTGCCTGTTTGATGTGAGATGTCACTTTCTGATATGATTTTCTCACAGCAAATGGTGCAAACGTTTGTTTACAAATGTAATAACTGGAATGATGTATTTTGGTGTGGCATTTTTAAATCTTATTTTATTTTACTGTAAGTTTCGTTAAAAATATTCTATATATATTGTGTTTTAACCTCTACCCTTCACCTCAGTGTATGAAATAATGGCATCACTGTGGAAAATACTTATGTTACATGATGGAAACTAATGATGATTTGTGGATATTTTTATTTAAAATATGATTGCTTGGACATTCATTTGGCGTGATTTATTTAAGGGTTTGAAATGTTGCCATTTAAAAGAATTTTAAAAAACCACCATGAGATACACACCAAAATAAAAGTAAAAAACTATCAAAAGACAAAACTTACGATGCTGCTGCTTGTTGTGTGCTTTATGTAGAGAACTGGTTCAACTCCAGGTTATATATACTTTCTGTTCTTTCTGACACAGCAACATCAAGTGTACATACTAGGTGTAGTGCATGCAGTTGAGCTGCTTCATCAACTGCAACAATTTATTCAGCTTATATCTGTTCAGTTGTAATGTGAAGTTTGACAAGTGGTTCGACTTATGATTTAAAGCAATAATAATAATAATTGTAGTTCTCTTGGTATATTAGTGTAAGTGATGTTCACTTAGTGTAACTAGCTTAGTATACACTACAAAAAACCCTTTCTTGACAATAATTTGACCTATTGTTTTCTTTCTCAAGAAAGTTTTACTAGAACTTTTTTGTGAATTATGTCCTCCAAACTAAAATTCTAATATCACGACATTTTAATTTCGTGTATTTTATAATCGTTTTAACTGTTTAAATATAATAGGCTGTTCAGGGTTCCATTGTGACAACTTACCCCATATAGTGGGACAACATGCCCCGCTATTGGTTTAACATGTTAAATCATCTCTATTTTCCCTTAGCAATAACGGTGGAAATGTGAATAGGCTAACTTTATTGTAGCCAAGACCTTATTAGTACCTATAACGTTACAGAAAAAAAAATGCTCTATGTACTATAGTAAAAAGTGTGACAACTAGCCCCAGTCTGCCATGTATTAAATTAGTCCCTTCAAATGGCAAGTAAAATCATTCACTAAGTATTTATTGTAATCCCACTAATTAAACATAAAATAGAGGCATGCCCTCAACCGACCAATCACAACACAGCTGTGTGCAACATGCTTTGTTTTCAAATACGAAACTGAATATGATTCAGATAAAAATAACAGAATGCTAAGGAGCGCTACTAGACTGCAAAAAAAACATCCTATCGCTTCATCTAATCTTAATTATTACCTACCAGTACAGGCAGCCCGTGGGAAGTCCCGCCCACCGCGTTACGCGATTGGCTGGCCGGTGTAAAGCAACATCCTAGACGGCATCTGATTGGCCACAAGCGCTTTCAGTTTTGGGTACATGCCAGAGGTCCGGAGAGGGGAGGGGAACCGTCTAGTTTCCGGTTTTGGGCTGGAATTGACACACAATGAGGAGTCGGGAGCAGCCGCTTAAAAGCCTTCTGTAAATAAACAGGACCTTCATCAGGCCGGCGAACTATGGAGAATCAGGTAGAGTATGAAACGCTTTTGCTGTTGCATGGAGTGAAGTCAACTTTTGTAAGCGCGCGCTTAGAGAAATCCACCATTGCAACTGAATGTGGACACTTAAAGCTCGTGAAAGCAGCGGATCGGACCCATATAACCCCCTCCCTCCTCCCTCCTCTCAGCTATCTGACTCGAGCTGGCCACGCATATTAAAGCTACATCGGTATTTGGCGACATCAGCTCAGCCTAAAGGGCTAGATGCGTGCGCCAGCTTTTACTGTAGGCAAGTCGTGCATACACCAGCAGAAACACAAAGGAGAGTGTTTTTGTCCTGTGATTCTCTGGCCCGGGAGTCACTACAGTCTGCGGCTTTTATTAGAGGAAATGAGGAACATGCATTTTCATGCACTAGTGTTCCTGACAGCATACAGACTGAAGGCTGAGGGCATTGCACAGGTCTGCTCTGAGGGTGGGGGGTTCCTGATGGGCTCCTGTCTTCTGTCTTCTTCCAAGGCTAATTAATTGCCCTTTTATGCAATATGATTTATGAGCAGCAGCAGTGATCATATGCTGTAGATGAATATCATTGCATTAACATGCTGGCTATTTTTACACGTTCTGCCTTGTGTCTGTGGTCTGTAGTAGGTTATAATTGCATTTGCTGCTACTAAAGAAATTATTTTATAAATAAACCTTTATTATTATAAACTTACTATTTTTATTATTATTATGATTGAATGCGTCCCATTGCAAAAATATCCCTAAAATAGGAATCTTTTTTCCACTGTTACTGTTATTGGTGATACTGTGAAAACTATTAAACAATAATATGGAACCTCTAATAAGATTTCAAAATTTATTTTTGCATGTTATCAACCTATTACTATAGCTGCCACAGTTACTAGTTTAAATATAAATATAAAATATGGAGTCTTTCTTCATAAAATTGGATGTTTAGCAGTTTTAATGCAACAGCAATAAACTTGTAGTGGTATTTTGACATCAAATATGGCTGCCATTGTAAATGTATTTTATTAATGTTTACTGTTTTGTTTTTACAAAAAGTATGTCTTAACATTTACTAAACGAACTAGCCCAATGTTAGGAAAAAAAATAGAAAAAAGTTACTTTTTTTGCTTGTTACTGCTTAATATTAATGAGCTGTTTATCTAACTATTACTTCCATTATGGGTCCTGTTGTATTGTTTTGTCCTTTTAAATCCAGCTTTAGACTAGTAATTTAGCTAGATAGTTATGCATGAAAGCAAATCTCAAAAAAATAAAAATAAAATAAAAAATAATTGAATTATAAACCTTTTTATTTCATGTGATTTTAGAAAGGCAAGTTGTAAAATTCAGTTTTGTCCTTCCACTTCTCAAGTAATGAAAGATTTTATTGAAATGTAGTTGATGTGCTTGTTTCGTTCATTCATGTTTTCCAAGCTGGATCTTTGACAACAGCTTTGCAGCAACTCTTCAGAGATTTGTTGTTTTGTCGTTTGCCTGTTGGCTTCCACGTGACTTGCTTGTATTTTTACCGTGCTTGACTGATCATCTGTATCATAGCAGTGACCTGAGAGAAATCCAGTCTTCCACCTTTGTGTCTGTTTTGTGTTTTCTAACAAAACGTGATGCAGGTGAGTGTGTCTTGTGAGTCCAGGAGCCAGTAGTGTTTTCCTGTCCTTTGGTTTAATCTACTCCTTTTCAAAAAGGCCTTTTGATCTTTTTACCCCCCTTCACTGGGATTAACATGGTCATGTGTTGAACCTCTTATTGTGTACGTCTCCTGTCTGTCCCTTATCATCTTCATATTCGGCTGGTCATGTTCCTCTCAGACGGGGTGGAACAGCTTTATGTCGGTAGCGTTTGTAATAGTTACCTCAAGGCAAGCTGCTATTGCTGTGACAAATTACAAATGGCAAGTTCTGGAACAAGAGTGGATTAAAGCTGCGGCGTTCTCGCCGTTGAGGGTAGCCAGACTTTTGTCTCACTGTCTGTCTATATATGTGACTCGGCTGGGGCTTGTGGGTGAGTGAATGAGAGATGGACTCAGGGGTTATTCTGATGCCTGGCAGCGTCAGGGTCTGGCTGGCAGGTTTTGGCATTAGAGAAGTGGAAGTGTCGGCCAACGCAGCGAATTAAAGTGTATTATGGTGACAGGACGGCCAGCCAATAAGATTTTCCTCCCACTTGTTCTTCTTCTGCTTGCAGTCTTTCAGAAAAGTAAAAAAAAAGCACATCTCAGTCTTGTTCTTTATTCTGGTTCTTCAATCTCCAGTAGTTTAGGGACTCGAGTCAACAGCAGCTGAGCATCTCTGGGCACCTGGACCCAGTCTGGCCCGTCTCCACCCTATGTGGGCAGTGTTCATTTTTCCTGGCTGCTTTTCAAGGAATTCCCTTGATGGCTTTTTCTGGTCATTTGGCAGAACCAGCCGATGATACAGATGATTAGCTTGAGCTTGTGTATGAAAGGAATTCTTACTCAGATTTTGGTGCCTAGAGGCCTTTTTTTAGTAACTCTTCTCTGCTATATCAATAACAGTTTTCAGCTATATGAATTCACTCAATTAAAAAAGTCTTCTTACATTCTTACAAAGAAAATAGCCTACAGCTTGATGATTTACCAACATGATATAATCCTCGAGGTCATATAAAAAATTTTTTTGTCTTTTGTTTTATGAGTGCACAAAAATCTCATTCCTAAAAAGCTCCATTACATAGAGATAATTTCTTATTATGAAAACATGCAATACATATTTTAAAGTAAAAACATACAGTATACATATAAAATGATTTTAAAAAATTATATAAATAAATAATATATAATATGTTATATATTTTTTTTATCCTTTTTTTTTTATTATTAATAAAACCATTACCATAATGGAATAAATAAATTTGGGGTTGGAAAGATTTTAAAAAACAGCAACTTTGAAATAAGATTTTTATACTCACCAAGGCTGTGTTTATTTGATCAAAATACAGTAAAAACATTAACATTGTGAAATAATATAACAATTTATTACATGTAAATGTAGATTCTATTTTATTACATATAATTTGTTCCTGTGATGTAAAGCTGAATTTTCAGCAGACATTTACTCCAGTTATCAATGTCACGTGTTTTTTCAGAGATCTTTCAGATGTGCTCATTTCATGCTCAAAAAACATTTTTGTTAGCTGTGACAACTGCTTAATATTTTTAGGATTTCAGCATTCTTTGATGAGTAGAAAGTTCAAAGCATTTTTAAATCGAAATCTCTTGTAACATTTTATAACAAAACCATTGTTTTTATTAAAATATTTTATTATATATGTAATTAATTTTTATGATTAAAAATCATACTTTATACTGAATGATTGTAGTAGTCTGTGATTATGAATTACGGTGATGGAAAGTGTCCGCTGGTCTCCTCTCCTGAACTGCAACTGTCCAATTGAAGCATTTAATTAAGATGTGTTTCTGTGTTTGCAGTGCACGGTTCAGGTGAAGCTTGAGCTGGGTCACAGGGCCCAGCTGAGGAAGAAGGTGACGTCAGAGGGCTTCACCCATGACTGGATGGTGTTTGTGCGAGGCCCTGAGAACAGCGACATTCAGCACTTTGTAGATAAAGTCGTCTTCCGGCTGCACGAGAGCTTTCCTAAACCCAAGAGGGGTAAATTTCACAACTTCACAAATGAGAAACTCCACCATGCACAGTTCAATCTTCAAAAACCAGCATGTCATAAGGAACAGCTTGCTTCTTTCTTTTAATATTTATAGTTAGGGTTGGCTCACTATCAAAGTTTTGGCTTGGTAGCACACCAGCTTCTAGTACTTTGGCGTCGATACTCAATCAATACTTAAGGCTACAGATAAAAAGCCTCAAATGACTGGTGAAATGAAACTACTGTCAGCAGATTAAACATCAACCCATTTCACTTGTCACATGTCTTGGATTAACAGCGCTGATCTTAGATCAAAGTTCGCATTTTATATTCACATTCCTTTATGATGACATGGATGGAGGGATATTTTGAATATGTGCCATATATTTAATCCGTTCTTTCACACTGTGTTTCAGTGAGTCAGTTCAAAACACTGATTCCAAGATTTGTTTGCAAAATTATTTTTTAGTTTGTGAAAATCAATTAGGTCATGCAGACGTTGCTTGGTAACCTTCCTGGAGTGTCCAGTCAAGTCATTTTAATAAATAATCATGAACTGTGTCTTCACCATAGTCAGATTCTCGAATTGGCAGCTGATCAGTGCACACTTAACAGCGTGTGCCTTTCAACCAATCAGTCAGGCCTACTGAGTAAACATGATGTAACATAATTAATATTCATGAGCAAAGCCTTCATTTTCGTGTTTGTAAATGAAAGCTCAAATGAAAATGTGAGACACTTATTAATAATATTATGAAACATTAAATAATACTTAAAGATCTATATATGAATACATACTGTTCAAAAGTTCAGGGGTGAGTAAGATTTTGTTGGAAATAAATTATTGATTTTATTCAGCAAGGAATCATTAAATTGATCAAAAGTGACAGTAAAGACATTTGTAATGTTGCTATAAAGATTTCTATTTTAAATAAACACTCTTCTTTTGAACTTTCTATTTATCAAAGAATCCTGAAAAAAATGTATCACTGTTTCACAAAAATGTAAAAACACTGATTATAATAATAACAAATGTTTCTTGAATACCAAATCAGCATATTAAGATGATTTCTGAAGGGTCATGTGACACTGAAGATTTACCATCACAGAGATAAATTGCATTTTAAAATATATTTAAAATATAAAACAGTTATTTAAAATTGTTCAAATATTTCACTGTATTGCTGTTGTTTTGGATCAAATAAATGCAGCTTGGGTGTGAATAAGAGCCTTCTTTCAAAAACATTTTAAAATCTTACCAACCCCAAACTTTTGGATAGTGTATATAAGTATAAATAATTACATTCAAATATTTATGAATTTTATTGTTGTGTGCAGGCATTTTTAGGGAAATAATTCATCTTTTTATTTTATTTGCAGTGTGTAAGGAGCCTCCGTACAAGGTTGAGGAGTCGGGATATGCTGGTTTTCTGATGCCCGTAGAGGTCTACTTCAAAAACAAGGTGAGGTAACGAAGTCTCTTCCTGCAGCTCTTCTGTCCTCTGTTGCTGTTCTCTCTTGTTCTGTAGTAATTTCTATTTTTTCACATTTTCATTCGCATACATCCTCCTCTCTCTCTGTGACTCATCTGAGTATCGGCTTCTCTTCCTCTGTCTTGTCATTTGTGATCTTCCCCCCCATTGACATTAAACAGGCAACGTAGAGTAGAGTATGCAGAGGAGAATGATTTGCCTTATGATCAGAGCAGTATAATGCGAAACAATTACACTCTCGTTTTCAAGCCCACCCGCTGACTCACAGGCTTGTGATATGTATCTGTATCTGTCATATCTTTTCTGAAAAACATCCCCAACCTTCAGCGAGTCTTGTTTTCCTATGTTGTTTTCAGTAACTCACAGATTTCAGCATGCTGAGAGAGAGATAAAAAGAGGTGGAGAATGTGCATCTGGGGGTTCTATTCATCAATGAATCCTAAAAAATTGTGTGCATTTTGACAAAATATTAAGCAAATTGTTTTTAACTTTTTTTTAATGAATACTTCTATTTAGCAAGGAAGAATTAATTTGATCAAAAATGAGAGCAAAGACATTTATAATGTTTAAAGAAAATTCAAATACTGTTCCTTTGAACTTTCTATTCATCAATGAATCCTAAAAAATTGTGTGCATTTTGACAAAATATTAAGCAAATTGTTTTTAACTTCGATAATAATAAGAAATGTTTCTTCAGCAGCAAATTAGCATATTAAAATGATTTCTGAAGGATTATGTGAAATTGAAGACTAGTAATGGCTGCTGAAAATCTAGCTTTGCCATCACAGGAATAAATTACATTTGAAAACCTATTCAAATACAAAGTTTTTTTTTTTAATTGTAACAATATTTCATTTTTTTCTGGGGTTTTATTTTTTCAATCAAATGAATGGAGCCTTGGTGAGCATAAGAGACTTCTTCAAAAACATGAAAAAATCCTACTAACCCCAAACTTTTGAACACAATTTTTCACTCAAATTATGTAATTCAGAAAATATAATTTGTAATAAACAATTAATATCTGATAATAGATTCAGATAAAAGAGCGATATTATAGGATCACAGCTTCCTCGATTCTCTCTTTTGTTTACTTCTAAGCAGCAGATTAGATCGTTTCAGTAAGAATTAAGAGTCCATTATATAGAACATGTGTCATCTCTCTATTAAATGACCTTTGTGTTATCATATCTGAGCGCTGTTGCTTTGTCTGGGTCACTCTGCGGCATCTTTCATTAGTGCAGGAAAGCGGGTCAGTCACTCGCTGCTGATTTACTGTGATCATCCAGAACTGGACATCTTCCAGCATCCCCATTACCCTTAACAGTCCTAATCTCAGCACAGCCTCATTAATACAGCAGATGACCTTTGTGTCAAGGTCACAGGCGCGTTATATGATCGCAGTTAAGACATGCTTTAATGGTCTTTTGTGATGATTTTATTATTAGGTGTCAAACTCTATGCTTAATCCTAATAGGGGATCTGTTGTGTGGTTGTATTTGACAATGTGAACCATGGTGACAGACGATAACAATATGGTACTGAATGATTATTATTTTAATATTGGGGTTATTCAAAATTACATATTTTCCAAAATGACTAGTTGGATTATTATTATGCATGTCCATACATGGCTGAAAATAAATACAACAGTGTGTATCATGACCTAAAACATAGTACTTTGTATTAATTTTTGAGATCGGTAAGATTTGTAAAATATTTTTGAAAGAAGTCTCTGAAGCTCACCAATTCTGCATTTATTTACTCAACAATACAGTAAAACAGTAATATTGTCAAATAATATTACAATTTAAAATAACTGTTTTCTATTTGAATATATTTTAAAATGAAATGTATTTTCAGCAGCCTTTACTCCAGTCTTCAGTGTCACATGTTTGTTCAAAAATAATTCTAATATGCTGATTTAGTGCTCAAAAACATTTCTGATTATTATCAATGTAAAAAAAAAAAAACTGCCTAATATTGTACTGCTTAATACATTTCAGCATTTGAATAGAAAGTTCAAAAGAACAGCTTTTTTTAAATTAAAATATTTTGTAACAATTGTAAATATCTTTTCTGTCACATTTGATCACTTTAATGCATCCTTGCTGAATAAAAGTATTGATTTCTTTAAAAAAATATTAACGAACCCACATTTTTTAACAGAATTTTATTTATTTATTTTTATTATGAAATAATGATGCAGCTGAATGATTAGGAATGCAGTACTTATTACTGCTTTATCTGTAGTTTTGCTGCAGTCATTTCTTGGATAACTGACAAATTCCTGTTTAACTTGGTGAATAGAGCTTATATTTTTAATTGTTAACACAGTTTCTTTTCTGTAGGAGCCTAGTAAAGAGGGAAGCAAAGTGTCCAAATCCCACAAAATGGCCAAGGAGCATCGAGAGCGGCCACGAAAAGACTCTGAGAGCAAGACCACATCCAAAGGAGATGTTGAACGGGACGGCAGCAGCAAAAGTAGCCGTGACCCTTCCTCATTTTCATCTTCATCATCCAAGAAAACAGAGATCAAAGTGAAAGACGAGAACAAAGTCCTGCCCAAAGCTGCTTTCAAGGAGCCCAAACTCACGCCGAAGGAGTCCAAAATGGAAGGCATGTCTCCTAAAGGAGGGGGAGCGGGGTCAGCAGGCGGTGGAGGGGGAGGAGGAGCGGCCGATGGAAAAGCACCCAGCAAACGACCTTCCAATGTGGAGTCACCCAAACCTAGTGTCAAGAAGCCAAAGAAGGGGGGTTCAGAGGGGTCAAAAGGCTCCAGCAGTGGGGGGTTAACCGGCACCTCCCCCCGAACCGCGTCTTCCTCCACGGCCTCCTCGGGGTATGTGGATAAGAAGGCCTCTAAAGAGAAGGGCCGCTGGGCCAAGGGCAAGTCAGAGGCGTTGTGTGGTTGTATTTGACAATGTGAACCATGGTGACAGACGATAACAATATGGTACTGAATGATTATTATTTTAATATTGGGGTTATTCAAAATTACATATTTTCCAAAATGACTAGTTGGATTATTATTATGCATGTCCATACATGGCTGAAAATAAATACAACAGTGTGTATCATGACCTAAAACATAGTACTTTGTATTAATTTTTGAGATCGGTAAGATTTGTAAAATATTTTTGAAAGAAGTCTCTGAAGCTCACCAATTCTGCATTTATTTACTCAACAATACAGTAAAACAGTAATATTGTCAAATAATATTACAATTTAAAATAACTGTTTTCTATTTGAATATATTTTAAAATGAAATGTATTTTCAGCAGCCTTTACTCCAGTCTTCAGTGTCACATGTTCGTTCAAAAATAATTCTAATATGCTGATTTAGTGCTCAAAAACATTTCTGATTATTATCAATGTAAAAAAAAATAACTGCCTAATATTGTACTGCTTAATACATTTCAGCATTTGAATAGAAAGTTCAAAAGAACAGCTTTTTTTAAATTAAAATATTTTGTAACAATTGTAAATATCTTTTCTGTCACATTTGATCACTTTAATGCATCCTTGCTGAATAAAAGTATTGATTTCTTTAAAAAAATATTAACGAACCCACATTTTTTAACAGAATTTTATTTATTTATTTTTATTATGAAATAATGATGCAGCTGAATGATTAGGAATGCAGTACTTATTACTGCTTTATCTGTAGTTTTGCTGCAGTCATTTCTTGGATAACTGACAAATTCCTGTTTAACTTGGTGAATAGAGCTTATATTTTTAATTGTTAACACAGTTTCTTTTCTGTAGGAGCCTAGTAAAGAGGGAAGCAAAGTGTCCAAATCCCACAAAATGGCCAAGGAGCATCGAGAGCGGCCACGAAAAGACTCTGAGAGCAAGACCACATCCAAAGGAGATGTTGAACGGGACGGCAGCAGCAAAAGTAGCCGTGACCCTTCCTCATCTTCATCTTCATCATCCAAGAAAACAGAGATCAAAGTGAAAGACGAGAACAAAGTCCTGCCCAAAGCTGCTTTCAAGGAGCCCAAACTCACGCAGAAGGAGTCCAAAATGGAAGGCATGTCTCCTAAAGGAGGGGGAGCGGGGTCAGCAGGCGGTGGAGGGGGAGGAGGAGCGGCCGATGGAAAAGCACCCAGCAAACGACCTTCCAATGTGGAGTCACCCAAACCTAGTGTCAAGAAGCCAAAGAAGGGGGGTTCAGAGGGGTCAAAAGGCTCCAGCAGTGGGGGGTTCACCGGAAATGTATTTTCAGCAGCCTTTACTCCAGTCTTCAGTGTCACATGTTTGTTCAAAAATAATTCTAATATGCTGATTTAGTGCTCAAAAACATTTCTGATTATTATCAATGTAAAAAAAAAAAAACTGCCTAATATTTTACTGCTTAATACATTTCAGCATTTGAATAGAAAGTTCAAAAGAACAGCTTTTTTTTTAATTAAAATATTTTGTAACAATTGTAAATATCTTTTCTGTCACATTTGATCACTTTAATGCATCCTTGCTGAATAAAAGTATTGATTTCTTTAAAAAAATATTAACGAACCCACATTTTTTAACAGAATTTTATTTATTTATTTTTATTATGAAATAATGATGCAGCTGAATGATTAGGAATGCAGTACTTATTACTGCTTTATCTGTAGTTTTGCTGCAGTCATTTCTTGGATAACTGACAAATTCCTGTTTAACTTGGTGAATAGAGCTTATATTTTTAATTGTTAACACAGTTTCTTTTCTGTAGGAGCCTAGTAAAGAGGGAAGCAAAGTGTCCAAATCCCACAAAATGGCCAAGGAGCATCGAGAGCGGCCACGAAAAGACTCTGAGAGCAAGACCACATCCAAAGGAGATGTTGAACGGGACGGCAGCAGCAAAAGTAGCCGTGACCCTTCCTCATCTTCATCTTCATCATCCAAGAAAACAGAGATCAAAGTGAAAGACGAGAACAAAGTCCTGCCCAAAGCTGCTTTCAAGGAGCCCAAACTCACGCCGAAGGAGTCCAAAATGGAAGGCATGTCTCCTAAAGGAGGGGGAGCGGGGTCAGCAGGCGGTGGAGGGGGAGGAGGAGCGGCCGATGGAAAAGCACCCAGCAAACGACCTTCCAATGTGGAGTCACCCAAACCTAGTGTCAAGAAGCCAAAGAAGGGGGGTTCAGAGGGGTCAAAAGGCTCCAGCAGTGGGGGGTTAACCGGCACCTCCCCCCGAACCGCGTCTTCCTCCACGGCCTCCTCGGGGTATGTGGATAAGAAGGCCTCTAAAGAGAAGGGCCGCTGGGCCAAGGGCAAGTCAGAGGCCCAGGAGGTCAAGGAGTCCAAGAAGCCTCCGGAATCCGATGACTCCAACTCAGATGATGAGGCCTCGTCTAAGTCTGAGGTTAGAATCGAGCTTTATTTACAAGATCTGTTTAGGATTTTAAGGCAAGATAACACTTTTTATTTATTTAAAATAAGTTAGGGGATGACAGTTAAAAAATTTTTTTACTGAATATATATATATATATTTCCCCCCACAATAACATTAATTAAATAATTAATTAATATAAGTGAGGGTTGGCAAACATTTTAAAAGTGTTACATTTTATTTGTTTTTTTTTTACACTAAATAAAATTTGTTTATTAATTTGATTTTAAATAAGTGAGGAGTTTTCGTAATCAAAGTGTTAAATTTAATTTGAAATTGATCACAATTTAATTAATTAATTTATTTTTTCATGTATTTATTTTTTTTCTACATAGAATTGGGTGAGGGTTTGCCAACCTTTTTAAGAAAGCCTTCAATTTAATTTGTTATATATACACTGTATATATCTTTTTTTCTCTTCTTTTTACAATATAATAATAATAATATGTATTTAAGTGAGGGGTTGGCAACCTTTTTAACAAAGTGTTCAATTTAATTTGTGATTTCTTTCAAAATATTTATTTATTTAAAAATAAAAGTCAGGGCATGACACAATGTTAAATTATTTAATATTTTTCACAAACAAAAAGTTATTTATAATTTTAAATTAATTAATAAATATAGCTACAAATTAATTTGTAGAAAAATCTACAAATTAACTTTAACAATATGTGAAAAAGGTTCCCAACTCCTGACCTAAAGCTGACATCAGTGATAAAGAAAATCTTTAATTTGTGTCCTGTCCACTCCATCCCACAGCAGTCAGCACCTTCCAGCCCGTCTAATTCCAGCTCCAGCTCAGAGTCCAGCTCCGACTCAGACTTTGAGCCACAGCAGAAACAAGGCCAAGGTAGGATCTGCTCTTTTCCTGCAGGGAGGGTCCTGATAAGAAGCAGTCAGATCCATAAATAGATTTCCCTACTACACTTTAACTCAAGGTTAACAGTCTGCTGCTTTGATTGATTATCGTGGAGAGGGTTAAGGACGTGTCAGATCAAGGCACTTCCTTAAAATGAAGGAATGAGGGGTATTTTTTAAAAAGGTGATGTGTGCAATTTGTCATTGTCGATATTACAAATCCTTGTTCCTTTCTCATTTATTTTGTAACATCCAGTCCAACAAAGAACATAGGCTTAACTAATAAAATGAGTTCGGGTGAGAAATTTTGTTTGTCTAATCAATGGCGGGTGGGAGGAGTTTTAAGGAAATCTGTTTGAAAATAATCATTAGTTTTCCAATCCTGTTTGGTCGAGCTAGTGGTGCAGAAAGGACAGACTTCACCTTTAAAGTGTGAGTTTGAAAGTTCAGTCAAACCGCCATATATGTTGCAGAAGCTCATTGTGGATTTTGGTCTGTAGGCCCGCTGCGCTCTATGGTGGAGGATCTCCAGTCGGAGGAGTCGGATGATGACGATAGCAGCTCAGACGAAGAGACGCCAGTCAAGAACAACCTGCCCGGTCGAGACTCCAGGTCATTCTCCCTCTTTCCTGTCAGTGTTTGTTTAAGCAGGTCTTTCAGATGCTTTAAGTCCCTTTAATCAATGTTAGCAGAGGCGGAGAACGGATTTGTTTGCTCAGAGTAAACACTTCACTTCATACGCCTCACTCTATTCTTCATCTCACTCAAGTATTGCTAAGCTGCTTTGAAAGACTTATTTTTGTGAGGCTAGAAGTATGAGATAAATGGTAGAATTGGATTTTCTTTGTTTATTGTTTATTATAATTATTCTTTCAAATTAAATGCATTCATTCAGATTTAATTAAAAGTATGCAGCAAATTTAATGGCGCTTATCCAAAAAAGAAAAAAAAACAATTCATTTACTCATATATGATTCTCATATTGCTTCCATACCTTTATGAATTTTTCTTCTTCTTTTGACCAGTTTTTGTTTTTGATCTGTTTTTAATATAATGAACGGTCTGGTGAAAAAACACTATAATGGTGGTCAATGTGACTCATGCACTATATTCCATGTCTTCTGAAACCGTTAAAGATTTGTTTAAAATGTAAACCTTTCATTGAAAATCTTGACATCTGACCAAATTCGTCTAGCGTTAAAACTAAAAAGTAGTCAAATCCTATTAGTGAAGTAATCAATAATCAATCTTTTGCGTCAGATCTTTTCAATGAATCTGTTGACCCCATTCCCAAAACTGGTCTGAATGATTAGTTTAGAAATCTGACAGATGCAGTTCTCAAGTTCAAGTTGAGCAATTCAGTGGTCCATTTGCTGCAGTTAACAGCTCACAGGAGGATTCTCAGTAAATAACAACTTCAATTTAAGTCTGTTCCTCACACAAGTCTATTGTATGCCTTCAGAAGGTTTGGAATATAAGTGCACAAGCCGTATGGACCATTTTTACACCGCCTTTGTAAAAAAGTAAAAGTCCTTAAAGTTATATATATGACAGAATTAAAATGTTTTGCTTTGTTAATCCTTTCATTTCCTCACAGAGTTTAACTGTTTGATGTTCGCCCTTCACAGGCTGAGCTTAGACAGCGAGAGTGACTGCAGTGACGGGCCGCAGCGTCCCAGTCGAGACCCACCACCTCAGCCACAGAAACACAGCACCACCAACAACAAGGTGAAGTGATACTCAGGACTGTGGCGGCTTCTTGTTAAGCCTTGGCAGTCATCCAATTGGTGTGTTTATTCATGCCAATCGTTCAGTTTGGAGCACACACTGTTTTGTTGACTGTCAGATGATGGACGATTGGCATTAGTTCTTGGATTATGCTGCGCCCTGTGTTGAAATGAGGTGGTGACACGCAGCTTTTGATCCAATGACTGTGGAATGCTGCTTAACTGGGTGCTGCCAGTCAGATCACTGGGATTTGGAGCAGCGCTCCAGGCACTGGTGCACTCTTACTGGAAAAACACTGCGATGTCTTGATTACTCATTCTTTAAACCATTATTTCAGTCCATCCATATGATTTTTTTCTTTCTTTTCTCCATCTTGTTCCTTTCCTCTCTGTTTCCTTTTGTCTTTCTGTCATATAGGTGTCAGGCAGAAAGAGTCCAGACTCTTGTTTACGACAAGAAAAGGTCCCGAAGAAGGGATACGACAAGGTAGGAAGGGTAAATCAATCTTTTAATTTTCCACCTCTCACTCCCACAAGTTACTTCTATTTGATCAAGTCGACCCAACTTCTTAAACCTTGTGAGCTGCCTTGCTGTTTGCTGCTCACATACATTATGTGCCCTGTTTAGGAATACTGAAAAGGAACTTCAATTGCAAATGTAGTTTTTCATTAGCATGTTGCTAAGCTAATAAAGTGATGCATTACATTTAAGCATTTGGCAGGCACTTTCATCCAAAGCACATGTACATTTTACTAGTTTCTTGCTTTCTCTGGAAATCAAACCCATGACCTTGGCATTGCTAGTGCCATGCTCTACTGAGCTACAGGAAAGTCTGATACTCTAATAAGCATAAAAAAATAATAATGTAAAATTATATTAAAATTCTGTAAATAGATTATATGATAACTAGTTCGATTTCAATAAAATATTGTATTAATAAAATACATGACATCAGCAACTACTCTTATTATTATATAACAACAATGGCTCATATTATTATAAAGCATGTTTTGGAACTGTCTCTATCTCGAGAGAGTGTCTTGGTAACTTGAAATGTTGCCTAGGTAGGCAGTTCACTAGTTTTGGACCTAAGTTCCATTCAGTCAGTGCACAATCCATGACATCATGCTACTGATTGTAGTTTGTAAAACTGCTCTTTCAACTAATTTAAGTAAATATGGTCAACTTTTTAAAACCTTTTAGTGCTAATACAAGCTTATATGTGTTTTCAGAGTAAAAACTGACCTTCTGCTATTGACATCATCTTCTTCTCTTTTATTCAGGCATACACTGAAGAGCTGGTAGACCTTCATCGCAGGCTGATGGCGTTAAGAGAGCGTAGCGTTCTACAGCAGGTAGGTGTTTGCGTGTGAATTAAAATAGCTTGTGTTTGTGTACAGGCTTTGAACAAATACCTTTGACCCGTTTCCTGCCTAAAGATCGTGAACCTCATCGAGGAGACCGGCCACTTTAATGTCACCAACACAACTTTTGACTTTGACCTTTTCTCACTGGATGAGTCAACTGTCCGTAAACTACAGAGCTACCTGGAGGCCACCGCCACATGACAGGAAGTCCATCGAGACTGGGGGGGGGGCTGCCCTATTTCACTTCTTTTGTCCTGAGAGAGGGCTGCAAAGGGTGAAAATCTGTTCACAGAGAATGAAAACAGTGGGAAATCTTGAAAAGGAGTGAAACCTACAGTATTTTGAGGAGGAAGTGCAGCTATGTACCAACACTACAACACTTCTTCTCTCCTCCTCAATATCCTGTTAGACAGAAAGTTCTCTTCTTAACGGGGCCAGAACTGCTTGAAGGTCATATTCGAATCAGCCGGAACGAAAACAAAAAAGTCTCCCTGTAGCCATACGCACTGATGCATCAAGGATTGCAACCTTTTATATTTTATTTTTGTACCAATGTTTTTCAAGGTATTTTTGATTGTGGTCGGAAAAGGAAGCCCCGCACGCCATGAATGTATCGCATTTTATCTTCTAGGGCTAGTCTTAGTGCCTTTTTCACACCATCTCATTTGTGCTCTTAGGAATTACAGCAGTGTTATCTTTCACTCCGACTTTAGTCAGTCTTTCTCTACATGTGGGATACCTGGATATCGTCCCAGGGAGATTCTAGTTTGTATGCCAGTATGTATCAATCCTCATTTATGTGTTCGCCAAATGGGCCTTAGAACTTAAATGTCGTGCATTGCTAGTGCAGCTTGTGAAAAGTATTTGAAAATCTGTGTTAATCTCTGTGTTTTTTTTGTCATCATATATGGTTTATTCATGAGACTATGCGGGAGAGACAAAAGAAAAGGACGAGACGAGCTGTTTTCCTCTCATGTGACCCCTGAAACAGCAGTCTGTAGATTCACTGTGCTTCTGACTCTGACTCTCTCTCAGAGCAACTATATCTCGACTTCACTGACTTCACCTCTGTGTCCATTGTTATGCTAATAGCTTTAAGAGGCTCCGTGGCCTGAGCTGCAGACCACATGCCCTTAACTTCACCCTGCGAGTGTCTGGGAGTGTCGTTTGCGTGGGTTTTGAATCTCCAACTGATTCGTCTGAATCTTGGCGAACAAAAACGTTTATATATGCATACTGATTTAGCATATTTGTGTGGTTTTCAGCAAGAGAATGAATGAGTGTCATGTGCGTGAACTTTTAACTCCCAGTTCTTGGTGTGTGAACTTTAACCTTTGACCGGATACTAGTTCAGGTCAGCCTGTCATAAAGGGGTGGGGCAAGGGGCAAAAGGGGGTGGAGTTCGGTGAATTTGAGTGGCAGCTCTGAAAAGAGCACACCCGGTTGTTGTTGTTTTTTTAAACATTATTTGAGGGAGTTGTTTTTTTATTTATGTACCTCTGCACTTTTGGCTTTGTTGACTCAAGTACTTAATTGTCTAAATTGTATTTTTAATAATTTTATACAATATTTACATGCAATATGATATTATTTTGTCGATTTTTGTGTCAAGAAATGCCAGCCTTTTTTTTTTTTAGGAATTTGTTATTTTCTTTCTTTTCCCTCTCTGTATCAGCACATTATATGTCATAGACTGTAAACGTGACCATCAGAACTTGAAACTGTTACTTCAGGCCAATTTATGAGTTCATAGCAGGGTGTGTTTGTATATCAGAGTTGAATTTCTACAAGTTGACATCTAGCATCTGTTTTGTTGTAGCCTCATTATCCACTACAAAGGGAGGACTGCAGATTTGCGAAACGAACAAGTATTTGTTAATGTATTTGATTTAAACCATGCTGAAAAGCTGGTTTGCTTGTCATAGAGTGGTTTTGGGCACTTGATCGGTTAAACCAGCTAAGACCAGTTGGTTGAAGTTTTTTTTTCTTTTCTTTTTTTTCAGCAGGAAAGTGGAGAACCTCTGTGTTTTGTACATGGGATGCAGCAAAGAAACACTAATGGAGGGGCAAATATTTCAATCATATTACATAGATACACATGTATAGTAGACAGTGGGTGAGTCTGAGGAAACATTAATCAACGGTTAATACTGCATCATTTTCACATATTTCGCTTGAAGGTTCAGAGAGCTGTCTTTTGTCAGTCAGTGGTGCTTTTATTTGTGGTTGTGAGCGCGGAAGAACTTGCTGTATTTATCCGTGGGGTTTGGGGAGGTCTGGGTTTTTACATATGTTCAGATAACGTGGTAGAAAACCTTCCGTGATCTGAACAGAAGAGTAACTTTAGTATAACGTGTTAAACTTGGCATACAATACCACCATGTGGTCATTTGATGCTAGTTGTAATAAGGGCAAAAGATGTTACTTTTTATGTTTTATTGAAAAATCATATTATGAATAAAGTCTTTTGAGTACTGTTCACAGCGGCTTTTATTACTAGTTTCATTTTTAGAGGCCATCTTAACTGCTTAACCATCTTTATAAGCCTCAGGTTAAGCATTGTTTTACAGCTACGTTTATTGCGTTTTACTTGATATTTAAAATTATTTATTTGATAAAAATACAGTAATATCGTGACATGTTATTGCAATTTAAAATAAAAGTATTTTAATGTTTTATTTATTTTTTATTTATTCCTGTGACAGCAAAGCTGAATTGTCAGCAGCCATTACTCTGGTCTTCACTGTCACATGATCCTTCAGATCCTTGCTGCTTAATGTTTTTGTAGATTATTTTTTTCAGGCTTTAAAAAAAAGGGCATTTATATGAAATTATCAGTTTGATAATTTCTATTAATTTGTAAAAAAAAATTAAAAAAAGATTTTAACATGTTAATGAAGCCCTGATCCATATTGTGGTGCCAAATGATAACTCAAGATCATGTTAACAGGGTTAAAATCACCCTGTCTTAATTCATATTACAAGTCTATCATCTGATCTAGTTTTTCAAATTATGATCTTTTCTTTTTTAAAGTGATCCAAAAAAATAATCATTAGCCGAGGCATTGAAACATCTCGAAGAATATTTACTAGCTGTATTTTATTGAAACGGCACTATACACAACATTCCTATAAGCTATTTTTGATACTGGTGACCAATTAATATTCAAGTCAAAGGACAAGAACTTATAAGACTTGATCATGGTTATATCACATTTATTGTCCAGTAAAGGGATAATTCACACATACATACAAGTAGAAACCTGGAGTTCCATCTCCCAAAATCATCTATGTTCTGTAGTCCAGTTTCAACAATGACATGCATGTTTCAGAAACCCTTAACATCACACTACACACAACAAATTGTCACCCAGTTCAAGAGTTTTCAGAGTCAGGTAAAACCAGGCAAACCTTTCAGTCTGAGACTTCACTTCATGTTCATGTTTGCACATTTCCAAATGGAGTGCCCTTCATGCTTGTCAAGATCTAGATCAGACATACATTAAATCATCACAGAACTTTTGTCTAAAAAGAAACTTAAAAAAAAAAAAATGCAAGTGGATTTTGAAAAAGAAAGAAGAGTAATTTAGTTTAACCATAATAGATATCCCAGATAGAAGAAAGGAAATCACTCACTAGCTCTACCTTCATTCTCACCAATTCTGATCGAGCAAACAATTTGTCACATTTCATGCACAAATTACTTAAAGTCTAACTATTTACAAAAAGGCCTCGCTGTGGTCATGCTATGCAGTCAGAGAGTATACACACTTTGGAGTAACAGGTCCAGTATTTGAGGAAAGCTCTTTAGTGAGATACAACTAATCTATTTACAAAGGAAAAATCATATCTTTGGATTTGCATTAAGTGATTTGCAGTAAGGTTTTTGTTTTTTTTGTATATTCAAGCACTTGACTGTTAAATAGCACTTCCTAATTCACAAACTTTCCAAAGTTTGATAATTCGACCTCTTTGATCAACCCATATGCTTTTTCTAAATCACATTTTAATCATTTTACTATGCAGTATACAATATAAATATAATCTGTCACATTTTCGGTCGAAATATCCTTAGTGCACATGCAAAGCAAAGAATGCAACATAGCTTGGCGAATCAAATTCTGACCTATTACTCACACCAGCTCCTTCACATCCTTTTTTTCATAAGATAAATATTAACCGTTTCTCTCAGTCCAGATTAAATGGTTTTTCATAAAGCTCATGCTGACACTAGACTGCATGACATCCAACATCGTGCTACTTTAAGGATTGTCAGAGTGATGCAGCAAAGCATCAAATAAGACCACAGAAGAAAAGCCAATGCAATAACGTATTTACACTATATAACAGGTTCATTTTGCAAAAAAATGGCATAATTTTGCAATGTGTTGTTGAACAAACATTCAAACAAATGGTTACGAAAAGCAAACAAACAGAAACATTTATGGCTTATATGGAACGGGATTCTTGCTAAATGATCTACACAGAGCGAGGTCTTGAGGATGTTCTTCTGCAAACATCTAGTTTCCTTTAAACAGTGTTTTTGGTGGCAGTAGTTCGCAGCAGTGCCATTGATGAACAAGCACAACAACCAAATGCTTTTCTCAAAGAATTCAGTCATGCCTCAGGCGCAAGTTTGCTTGTTAGGTATTACTATTAAGATTTCTCAAACTTTGTTGATCAATTTAACCATAAATTAATTGTTATCTCTGAACACAGACATTCAAATCACCTGCACTTACATATAAATCAAGAACATGGCTCAAAAGACTTCATTATAATTAGGCAAGAAAATAAATAGTAAATCACCACAAAAAAAACAAAACCTTAAATTCACAAATGGCTTTTTGTTTCATAAACATGTTTTCCTTCTTGCTATAATACAGAAAAATGTAAACAGTATGAAATTAAAAATGACAAAACCCTGAACAAATATTAACTCAAAAACGGACAAGCGAAACACAAGGTCTGAGTGGTGTTCCTATGTGTGTGTGTGTGTTTTAGACCATGTCAGTCCCTTTGTCTCCTTTTAAGTGGGTGACAAGGCCTTTTGTTGGACACCTATTTAGAAGGCAGAGGGTTGTCTGGGGTGGTTGGGGTCAAGACTTCTTTGTAAATGTTCTCAATCTGGTCTTTGCACATCTTCATGACCACTGGCCTCTTGAGCTTCATTGTGGGCCCTGGGAGTGAGAGAGTTTAAAACGGCTAAACAAACAGCCTATAAACAGAATAGAAATAAAAGCCATAACACACACACACACACACACACACACGCGCGCGCGCAAAGGTCATTACTAGGAAACTTACCCAGCTCTCCGCCAGGGATAGAGAAATCCTTCTCCAAAACGGTCCATTTCTGGATGCGCTGGGCGTTAGAGGTGGCTTTCTCATTGACACGGTTGATGCCTTCTTGAATAGCCGCGTATACGACTCGGTCACGGCCACCGGCGATCTCGCTGACTCGTGTGGAGTTGCTGCCGAGTTTACTACACAACTCCACCGCCTCAGGAGTCAGTTCGTCTTCGGGAGCGCCCGTTTCATTGTTAACCTGACACTGAGAGCCAAAAAAAATAAGTCATTAGCGTTTTCTAACTGTAAGTTATGTATATTAAATTGAATATGTATTTGATTAAAACGTTTCCCCGTCAATATTTAGATAAATCGCAGTTTAACACTAAATTGTGCTCGCGTGTGCAAAACACTCCTGCATGACGCTAAGGTGTTGTTGGTGGTTGCCAGGGGGCAAATATGTGGTTGCTAATGTGCTCCGACGGCTTTTAATCATGTTCTGAATGCTTGCTATGCTGTTGCTAGGGTTTCTCTAATTTGGTCTCTAGAAATGACGCGGTTCCCTCATTGTAGTTTTTTTAATGTCCACCGGGTAAAAACTGTAATCCAATGTCTTAGATAAGTAATATCACACATGTACTAACAAACTACGTGTGTGTGTTCTGAATGCTTGCTATGCTGTTGCTAGGGTTTCTCTAATTTGGTCTCTAGAAATGACGCGGTTCCCTCATTGTAGTTTTTTTTTATGTCCACCGGGTAAAAACTGTAATCCAATGTCTTAGATAAGTAATATCACACATGTACTAACAAACTACGTGTGTTTGAGTCATTATTCATATCAGTAACACAATGCGGGACAAGTTAAATTACACACCTAAATTTACTACTCATTGTTTAGTATGACCAACAATAAGTATATATTAAGTATATTGTATATATTATAATACTAGTGCTAAGTTTCCTTAGCAAACACCACTAACTAGTTACATTTTTCAATTTATAAACGTAAAAGTATTTTAGTACTGTTGGTTGCCACCAGGGGGCGCAGTGATCCCGAGAAAAGCACGGAACATGTAGCTACACACACTGTCCACTGGTTGGCAGCGGTTCTTAAGTTTATAAATTGGTAATGCTTGAGCATTAATCACTTGATCGTACTGATATGATCTCAGTAGAGTGTAGTAGAAATGTATTCATGCATCTTTAAAATGAGTGTTATCTCTCAGCAACCTTACATAACCCAGCCCTCTGAGTAAGAGTCCTTGGATGAGATGTTCCGATTAGATTTACAGCATTCACGTTCAGGAGAGCATGACATCGGTCAGGATCACACAAGGCAGCCATTAAAAATTAATCAATAATGTTGGATAATCAAAGTTACAGACCTTTTCTTTAGTCATGAACTATGCTTAAAGGGATAGTTCACCCTAAAATGAAAATTCGGTCATTAATTACCCTCGTGTCGTTCCAAACCCATAAGACCTCCGTTCATCTTCGGAACACAATTGAAGATATTTTTGATGCCTTCTGACAGCTCTCGGACCCTCCCATAGACAGCAAGGGTACTACCACGATCAACGTCCAGAAACGTAGCAAGGAGATCGGTAAAATAATCCATGTGACATCAGGGGTTCAACCGTAATATTACGAAGCTACGAGAATACTTTTTGTGTGCAAAAGAAAAAAACAAAAACGACTTTATTCAATAATTCGTCTCCTTCGCGTCACCCTAGCGCCATTTTGGAGAATATCCACTGAACGCAAACAGCGTATGCTGTTTTGTGTCAGCCGCACCACACGGAGGAGACTGTTGAATAATTTTGAATTGTTGAATAAAGTCAGGTTTTTTTTCTTTTGCGCACAGAAAGTATTCTCGTAGCTTCGTAATATTACGGTTGAACCTCATGTCACATGGATTATTTTACCGATCTCCTTGCTACGTTTCTGGACGTTGATCGTGGTAGTACCCTTGCTGTCTATGGGAGGGTCAGAGAGCTGTTAAAAGGCATCAAAAATATCTTAATTTGTGTTCCGAAGATGAACGGAGGTCTTACGGGTTTGGAACGACATGAGGGTAATTAATGACAGAATTTAAATTTTTGGGTGAACTAACCCTTTAACAATGTTTTCTAAGCAGGCACAATGCAACAAGCAATTTGTCTCAATCATCCACAGAAAAAATAAAACACAT